TGTTCTAGGCAGATAGTCTAGGGCTCTAATGTTCTAGAGCAGATGTTTAGTGCTCTAATGAGCCGTGGTTCCCAAACTTTTTGACTTGTTTATCCCCGAGTCATTTTCTCATGCCACTACCCCCTTAGTCAAATGTATAGACAGTTCTCCCAAAGTAGAACGCACTACTGAATCTATATTCTGTTATATTCTTTCTTCTTTTTTTAATGTCTAAATGACAGTTTTTGAGCAATCTCTGTACCAGATTAGTTCCAGTAGAACAAATCCTTCCAAATAGTACAGAATCTCCTCCAGCTTCACTGGCTGCCAGTCAACTTCAGGGTTCATTTCAATCAATCAATCAATCCATCAATGTATTTATCGTCAACACTGAAATTCGTACTTCGTCCCACAGCCCACCCACCAATATGCCACGAATTACGAAGGAAACAAATGAGCAAATCACAATAAAAATGTATGTATTTATTAGGGCTGCACAGAATATCGCAAATATTTTGTTATCGCTATATCAGCATGTGCAATATGCATATCGCGAAGAGCAGATAAATATCGTAATCAATGGTCAGCTCAAATGTTTGCTACACATAATGCGTTCTGTCAAACGGAAGCACGATGTTTTCTAACAAATCAAATAGAGCTCTTCGCCCATTTGGCCAATTGGGTGGGTTCTCATAGGTCAGATGCCCGCCCCCGAGGCGAATGGCACTTCATTCTGATGGTTAGCAAACACCTGAGTTAGCTTTGTTCTGCTGGTTCTGCTTTCCCAGGATCCACTGATCCTTTTCTTGTTCATTTTCATTTCCCGGCTGCTTTCCTCGGGTTCATGTTGTTGAGGGTCTTGTGAACTTGAGCTGACGTGATGACTGGAGGGGGGGAGGATGGTTGAGGTGTGTGTCTGTGTGTGTGTGTGTGTGTGTGTGTGTGTTCATCTGCAGAGGGAGTGGAGGTGGAGCTCTCAAAGCGTGTGTAGAAGACATTTAGGTCATCAGGAAGGCTGTCTGAGGAGCTAGTGGTGCTACAAGGTCCCACAGGAGACCGAGCCTGAGTGCGCATATTCGCCACAATCTTTTCCCGTAGCTAAGCTAACGACTGAATTCTAGCTTTTAAAGTACAGAAGGCTGCCACGGCGAAACCCTTATACGGGCGTTTTCTGTGAGCATGCATTACACCAGCATAAAAAGGAGAGCCTTGGTACCAAAGGCATTCCGTAGCCGAAGGATTAATAACCGAATCAGAATGTTAGCACCGCTAAACGTTAAACTCCGCTGAGATGAAGTGACTTAATTCCAATTCAAAATGCCTTCGTCTGCCAACTCGCCGCAGCGCCAGACTGTGAAATAAATGCAAATCCCTTTGGGTAAAGCTTGGGGTTCAAACCAGCGGGGAAGGTTTTGTTTAGCGTCCAGGAAACGGCAGGTAACATCTTAACTAGTAGAAACTAACGGTTAGCATTAGCAACTCCACCACACAGCAGAACTCCTCCAGGCTTGTGTTATTTGTGGGGATAAAACAGCAACGCTGCAAATCAGCAGTAGAGTGAAATTTTCTAAGCAAAATCCACGAAAAGGAACAACAGATATTTCAGTGGTTCAAAACCTTTATAGGAAGTAATCATGTCTTTTATCAATAATGTGTGTGTGTGTGTGTGTGTGTGTGCGTGCGTGTGTGTGTGTGCGTGTTAATATGTGACAGTGTGAGCGTCCTGTCACAGTGACCTGATTGATCATGCGCCCTGGCTACTTGGCCAAGGGGATGTCCCTTTGGCTGACTGGTTAGTGAGCATGACTCAGCCGGGAGTCCGGGGATCGAATCCCGCCCGGGCCCTCGTTTCTCCACCTTGCCACAAATACAGATGTGAAATCAATTAATGTAAAGTAATCGTGATTATTTCTCAGACTAAAATCGTACCACCAACATTTATAATCGTTGCTGCGCTACTTCCAGCTAGAATGATCTTTCACACACATCCAGGCCTTCATCGCCTCCAGGCTGGACCACTGAGACTCACCGTATGCAGGCATCAAGCAGGCCTCCATAGTGAAACTTCAGATGGTCCAGCAGCCAGGTTATTGACCGGTACCAGGAAGTAGGGGTTGTATCAACTAGTCACTAGTCGACTTCACTGCTCTGTAGTGACTTTTTATGCCTGTCATCGACTAGTCGCTGTCACGTGATAATGACCGACAAGATGCAGTCCTCGGAAAAGACAGCAGGTGACGAGTCCCTGCGCGTTGGGAGGCGACGCGCTGGGCCAGAGCGTCGGTACTGACACCCGTCATAAAACGGACATTTAACCAAATTGTGACCTTTACCCTCTTGCAATTTAACCTTCCCCTCACCCCCATCCTAACCTTAACCAGCGTGCGCATGCAAAGCTCTGATTGTTGATGCGCGCCAGACATCTGCGTCCTGAGCACGGCCACAGTAACATTATCAAATCAGGTGTCGCCACCTCAAAAACTAATTTAAAGAGCAAGTAACGTCTAAATTAACTTTTTTTTGCTGATGAACTGTATAAATGAGTGTCTAATAGTGTTTTAAATGTGTGTATTCATTATTTTAGCATTTTGGTGCATTTTCTTAAAAAATTAAAAATTCTGCCTAAATACCACAGTATAGCTCCACCTTCAGCTTAAAACATAGAATTTGACTCATTTTGAATAAATTTTAGCCAATGGCTAAAGAGTAAGATACTACGTAATCCAGTAGAGTACTACGTAGCAGCTCTGTGTCAACGTTATAAAAGCATCGGGAGTCTCGGCCACGCCTTGTGGCGAGTTGGGAGTTGGATTTGCATGAGAGTGTAGGAGGCTAGCCGTAGTTCAGCATTAGCATATAGCATTAGCATATCCTAGTCTTTAGCATAGCTTTTAGTGTTATACATACTTATTTAGTGTTAGCTTGGCTGTTGGATATTGTAGTTTAGTTACTGTTTGGCTGTTAGTGTAATTAGGAAAGTAGTTCGGGTTTAGTGCTCCATATCGTGTTAGCATGGTGAGATGGTGTAGTGTAGTATGGTTGCGGAGCTCTGTCGGGTTGCACTCCTTTCCGCTGGACTTAGAAATTAGGTGCCAGTGGTTGCGTGTCTGGAAAAGATTCAGCTCCCGCCTGGTGCTGTAGTTTGCAACCAGCATTTTACCCGCGATTCTGCACGTCTCCGTTCCAAGAGGGAGGCTGTGCCCACCGTGGCTCTTCCGCGATTTAGATACAGCCCACCGACTCTGCTCCCCCACCATGACGGGCTACAGTCTGAGGTGAGTAAGCTAAATAAAAGTTTTAACATCTTCTAAAGACAATTTCCTACCTAAATGCAAAGTTTGAGAGACGTGGTTCACTCCATTTAGCTAATATCAGTCTGCACTGCCTTCGGGCTATTTTGTCAAGTTCACAAAATGTGGAACGGGATGTAAGGTTAGAATCAGCGGCGAATCGGAACATATCTCGAAGCCCTGGCCGACAAAACGGTCCACATGACTGTCAGGCTCAGAGAAAATTCGGGTTGTTTTTGTCAGTCGGTAATTCAGCAACAGTGACTCTAAACTGACGCAGCACTAGTTGACAGACATCATTACAGCGTGAAATCCAGCACAGCGTGACCCGGTTCCGTGAGGAATTCTGTTCAGGAGGTCGCATTTCAGGGTCTCCACATCATATGTGACTGACTTTTACTTTATAATAACATCACACACTAGGAATGTTATAAAGCGCCTATATGGGACAGTTTCTTTTGTATTTTATCTGACTTTATAAACATCAATGTGCTTCTATTTTTTTTTCAGGCTAAATCTACCCAAGACACTGGCTGTCAGACTGATTTAGTAATCTGCAAGAATGCACTTGTCCAGGCTGACGTGGTGTTACCCGTAGCAAAGGTGAATTATTTTTAATAATCTTCTATGTAAACATTTTATTACCTTCTAGTTTTAATTTGTTTTACAGATTGTTACACGTGATTTTATGCTCTTTTAAACGTTCATAAATGTGCTGCTTCTTTGTTTTTTATAGAGCTCACAGCCTCAGTGTCTTGTGACACAGGGACCATGACAGAAATTCATCTTCCAGAAGGTCCCAGAGCATCCACACCTCCTGAAAAGACCACGGTGTGAGGTGTCTGCTGTTGATTCCAGCTTCCACCTCAGTGACAGTGCAAGCTCAGTGAACTGTTCAAGGTAAAAAAAAATTAAAACATTTCTGAATTTTTAAGATATTAACAATTAAATAAGTATGTGATTACATCATGAAGGAGGCTACTGATTCTGGCCCTGTGACACTTGGTGGTCACCACCAGGTGGTGACGTGTGAGCTGATTCACCTGGTAAATAACTTTTAAATTAAATATTTTGTTTTTGCTATCAAAAGTAAATTAACTAATAACCTGCATTACTGCAGGACACTCAGCAAAATATGGACTCTACACCATGAGGCAGGCACACGTTAATAACTCTATAAGAGCACATAAGGTAAGCAACACCACATATTATTTTTATTACTGTACACTGTCCTGGATTTGTTTTCTTTCTGCATGATTTGTTTTCTTTCTGCATCTCATCATTAGCCTGGCTGATCACCTGATAACTCCTGTCACCTGATAACTCGTGTCATCTGGTTATGACAGCATGAGGATGTCCTCACACACCTGTAACCTACCAGCTCATCTGGCAGAATAGAGAGAGAAGAGACACCACATCTCCTGTTCCTGGAAAGCCTTCAGCCATCCTTCGATGACTGAGAACCTCCATCAGCTCTGTCTCCTGTCTGCCTACAATTATTATAATAAATATTGTGTTTGACAAGTTTTTTGTGCTGCCAAATATCTCATTTTGATTCCAGTTTTGATATTTTAATGGATATTTATAAATTACATTAATTGAATTATCACATTGTCGCATGTTTAACTAGCTCTATTGTGATGAACTAAACTAGCACCTCACTGTTAAAAGCTCGTTTTAATTTCAAGCATGTTTAAGTATTTATGGACATGAACAAAAACAGGAAATATATAAATTGAGATTTATTTAATTAATATAACAAATAAGGGGGAAAGAGTCATTGAAAGGCACATTCTTCTGGAAGTTCCTGATCCCGACGACATCAGCAGGAGACCAGCTGCAGACACCAGAGGATCACCTGCAACCAAGAGCAGCTAGTATCAGTAAATAAATAATGAAATCAGGGCAGTTTTAATGGGCTGAACACATTACAGAATAATTTTCTCATGGTATATTTTCATAACTTTATGCAGCAGACTAGCTTGAGCCCAGATCTCCTGGAGAGCTGCTATCCAGCACGTTTCAGTGGATTTTCCTGCTTTAACAGGTTAGATAAGCTGTTAAGCAGCTCAGCTGTTTGTTGCTGATTAAAACCAGGTGTGTTGATGCAGATAAATCTCTAAAACATGCTGAATACTAGCTTTTTGGGGCCATGGAGACAAACCCTGCAGCTAATCCAATGCTATGGCTAACGGCTACTTACGTTCAGAGATGGGTCTGTTGGGTCGGTTCCAGTAATTTCAGGCAACTCACAAGCTCAAAACAATAAGGCTCATGTCCGCTTGTCTCCTCCAAATAGACTTGGTCCCTTTCTTCTCGAGTGTCTGGGTAAGGAGGGGGAGAAACGTCCTCCACTTCTAATGACTGCTCAGAGTGAAGGGAGCTAGCTTCGTCTAGTTAGCCGTCTCTTCGTCACTGCCACGGCTCCGCCCTCTCGGTCCTCCAGGCAACGCCTACTAATGTTGCAGTTTTCAAAATTGATACGTGGGTGGGGTAAGACTCTGAGGCACACTTGACATGCACTTTAACAAGCGATCGTTCATGTCGGCTCATTTCCTTTTATGTTTTCTGTCTTTTATTTGTGCCTGATGCGTTTCGCTGCTGTGGAGCGGGGCGCATCACCTGTTTTGTCCTCGGTGACGCACCTCACTGGTGCGGCCGGTGAGCACTCCGCTGTTTTTGCGGTCGGTAGATCTTTTTGAACTGCAGTTCAAAGGTAACTCATGAGGTGAATATATATGAAGCCAGTGTAACGTGATGAAGGGGCTATTCCACCGAAGGTTATTTACCCTCTCTCCTCAAATGCCTCTGACACAGAACTAATCTGCATGAGACTGCCTCAAGGTCTCATGCATCTGCTTCTAAACTGTTTTCTTTTCCAGCTCAAGAGAAGAATGAAGACAAAGAACTCTATTTTTAATAAGCTAATCAAACAAAGTGTCTTTATTATAATCCTATAGAATATAATAAGTAGGGCTGCAGCTATCGAATATTTTTGTAATCGAGTACTCTAATAAATTACCCTTTTGTGTTTGTAAACCATTATATAAAATAGCATGTTATAAAATATGAAAGACCTCTCAAAATGAGCAATTTCCAGTTATTCTTCAAGTTTTATTCAAAATTAAGTTTGCAAAACTTCAGCACTTCAACTTTAGTTCACAGTAAACAAAAGCCTGTGCAAAAATAAGTAAACAACCTGAGCCGATTTTCCCCTCGTGGGAGAATCTGCCAGCCTGCAAGCCAGAGGATAACTGTTGAAGTAGCGCTGCGAGCGGCTGCGGCCCGAACAGAACCAGAACCGCTCACGGCGCAAACAGTTCGCCGGCTGTTTCCCTATTAACCCACGTTCGTTTTAATTTCTACACTTTTTTTCTCACACTAACAAGGATTGTTGAGAAAGCATGTTTGCTGTGGTTATGTTAAATTATACTGATCACAAAACATTTATTTACTTTCTTTCGTTTTCCTGCGCCACTCATAAATACCCGTGTCCTCCTGCAGCAATCCCGAGGGACAACAAATATCAATAACAACACAATAAAAAGTCCGACGTGTTGTGTAAAAACGTCTATTTTTTAGCACATTTTAAGTCCGACGTGTTGCTACCAGACGTACGGTGAGCTGAAACTGAGTGCTACAAACGAAAAAGTCGCCCAGTGTCTGCAGAATATATAGAAATACAGGCTAAAATGCATCATCTTGTAGAGGCTCCGAGTCCGCTTGCAGAAGTGACGTTAACAGGTGCTGCAGCATGGAGGATGTGGTGTTGTGCTAGGCTAAATCCATTTTACAGTATTAATGCTGGACTACGTTTTCCACCTTACGACGTGAAAAATGGTCCCACAACTTTGACATTTTCTGTCTTTTTCGCCCTTCACTGGGGTTTAAATTGTCCGCCATGGCTTAAGAGAAAGTTAAGTTACATTCGCTACTCGCAGACCAGTGGGCATGTGCGTCACTTATTTCGGTCCGGGTGAAACATGACCCCGTGCGTTTGCAAAGCCATGAATTAATTAAATATGAATTAAACGAATCCTCGAGGCAGAGAATTTGACTCGAGGATTTTTTGTACTCGAATTATTCGAGGTACTCGAGGAATCGTTTCAGCTCTAATAATAAGTAATATGACTTTAAATGTTTCCACTAGGACTGATCTCACGTAGTGTTAAGACATGACACATTGCTTTCACTGATCCAATCAGAATCTGCCAGATCTGACGGAGGCGGGGTTTTGGTGGTGTTTGGTAAATCTGTCATCTTTTCATTCGACCGTAAACCAAAACATCCGAAGTATAAAACTATGCCCACGCCATCTTTAACGCCAGTTCAAAACGTTCTAGAGAAGTTGTCGGAGTGGCCAATCCGTAACGTTCCTCTTCAGCTGAAAGAACCAACGACAAGCTGGATTAAATCTGTTGCTGTTCCACCTGCTGCAACGGTTCCTTTCAGAATAAAAGCTGAACCATCACGACCCCATTTTGGGTCTTGCTAGATGCCAACAAACCGGAAGTATCTCAAGACTGGTCTGGTCGGCAACCGCTGCTTTTCCTACCGGCTTCGGTTCCAGAGAGGGTCAAACTGGACCTCGACATTCCTGATCTAACAGGGACTTCTGAAAGAGTACGTAGGCCGACGAAATGGCGTCATAATGTGTTATGAATCTCCAAATCAAAGCTTAGCGCGAAGACGTCACCTTCACTCCCATCAGAACTAATCGTTTCTTGGGATTTGCTGGTTCTGAACAACATTCCACACGACAACATTCTCCGTCTCACTTCACCTTAGTTACACCATACATTTCGTGTTTAAGTTAGTCTCGTTTTAATTTGTTTAGTAATAAATCTTTAAACTTTTAAAAGTTGACTCTCTCTCTTCTGTTGTCTCTGAGTGAATACGAAGTGGTTACATATCCCTGCAATAAAAAGTAAGTCCTGACCGATATGCTTTTTTTGGGGCCGATAGCCGATATAATGGCCGATAAATCTCCCTCACAAAAAAATAAATACAAATGTTCTTAAGATTAAACCCTTCATTCTCTGCCTTTTTGATGCAAACTTATTTCTATATTACACACCAAAGAACTGTCTCAATAACTCACTGGGGTTTCCAAGTAATGCAAATAAGATTTATTTAGCAATCTCAAAAACAACAGAACACACAAACTACTACTGAAGATGAGCAGATGCTGCAGATGACATCACCGGATGGCTCTTTAGTGAAGTAGGCCCACACCTTACTACGACCCTCTTTTTCCATCTGTAATAAAATAAACAGCATAAAAGTACAGTTATATATCTGTTGATACTAAGACAAAGTAAAATACATTAAATGTGGCATTTTTATACTAAAAAGTTTAAAAATTATCATGTAAATAAATGATATCAGACATTGTGGCTCAGAACCAATGGCTCTGTTTTTGTTTGGTTCCCCAGCTGTTCAGGTTTTCTCATTTAGTATTCGTCTTCTGTTTGTTGTCAGGTTTTTTTCTAGTTATTCTTCTTTCCCTTTTAGGATTCTTTCTTCTTTAAAATTATTTTCATTTATAGTTCCTCCTGTGTTCCCCTGCTGTCCTCTGCTCCCACTCACAGCTCCTCCTCATAACTAGCCCTCTGTCCTCTCTCACTCCTCAGTGCATACGGTTCCGTTTCAGTCATACTCTGCTGGTTTCAGCGTCCTAGCTACCTGATTTTATTTCTGTCACCTGATTGTTGGCATTAAAATACTTTTGAGTTTTACACTTTTGTGTTTTGATCCTTTCCAAAGCCGACAGTATTAGGAAAATAAAAATAAGATACGTTAATTAGTATGTGGCAATGTATAAGCCTTATGTAAAATATAAGGCTGAAAAATACAATAGATTTATTCTATTGCAGAGAGGGATGTTTATTTTCTCGTATTACCGCCCCCGGAGGGGGGACTCCCTGCACAGCGTTTCATTGCTTTGTTGCCAACCCCCCCTCGCCCGTCCTCAGCTGCGAGAACGGTCGTGTGCTGCCGAAGCGCCGCTAAACGGGGACTCCTTCATTCGTCGCCCTTGTTATCCTATTCTACAGGCCACATGGGCCGCCGAAGCGCTGCACGCTCCGCCCGCACCGTGCAGCGAGTTTCGGCGTCTGCACTATTTTTTTTCGCAAGCCGCGGGTGAACCGAACCGCGTGAGTTTGAAAAGACTGCTGAAGAAGAGCGGAGGAAATTGTCTGAGAATATTCCAGAATGTCTACCAGAAAAAGGCCGATGTTACTTACTTACTGCCCTGCATGACTACAGGGGAAGCAGCGTGAGCTCTGCATAGAGCGTAATGCTGCGGCAGTTTTATTTTATTTTTTCAGGTTAACTTTTCAATACGAGGCCACGAGGCACACAATAAACTTAGGAAGCATGTTGAGGGGAAACATACTTTTGTCATTGCTTATTTTACCGTTCAACTTACCACTGACACAACAAATTGCTTAAAACTGAAGACTTTCCTCCTACTTCCTCATCACCGTCTCCTCTGACTGCTTGACTCCGCTGCTCCGCTGCATGTGTGCTGTGATGGTGGCTCCATCCGACCCCCCCCCCCCCCCCCCCCCCCCCCCCCAGGAGTGGAGCCCACAACATGAGTTCTTAAAGCTGGCGCCATCTGCTGGATAGGTAGTGCTTTATCGGCCATATCGGCTGTCTTTTTGGCCGATAGAGTTAATGACCCCTATATCGGCCGATAATATCGGCCGGCCGATATATCGCTCGGGCCCTAATAAAAAGTTCCAATCTTCTGGTTAGGGTGGCGCTGAATCAGGGGGAGGGGGCTGAAGCAAGATGCAGAAACTACCGTTGTTAAAAGAAATGTGTTTAACTTAGAAAATGTGGGCACAATTTTAATTGTCAAAAACTCCAGCGAACCAACCCACTTCAGGTGTATGATGTCATCAATGACTAGTCAAAGTCCACTCGATTTTCATTACTTGACTGTCGACTTTAAAAAAAATGAAGTCATGCAGCCCCTACCAGGAGGTGTGAGCACATCACTCCTGTCTTAGCATCCCTACACTGGCTTCTGGTCTTTTAGAATTTCATTTAAGGTTCTGGAGTTTGTTTAAATGAGCGAACTCCACCATTTCTATCAGATCTGATTCATACTTGCGTTCCATCATCATCATCATCATCATCATCCTTACATTCCTTCTGTCGACGGAGCAGGGACTGTTGGTCGTGCCCAAGCGCAGACTCAAACCACGAGGGGGTCGTGTCTTCTCAACACTGGGGCCAAAGCTCTGGAAGGAGCTGCCTGCAGGTGTCCAGCAGGCCCCTCGCTCAGCGCTCTCAAGCGCTGTCTTTTATTCAACGGGTTTTACTGACGAGGAGTCTCGCTGATGGGGGGGGGTTGCTTTGTTGTGCAGTCCTGGCTGGATTTTTACCACAAGTTTTAGTCAGATTTTTTAGTTGCTTTTACATGTTTTTACTCTTTTATGTCATTTTGTGTCTCGCCCTGCTGAGCAGCGCTCTGCTTGGCCCTTGTGTGAAAGCGCCATATACATAAAGTTGACTGACTAATGATAATCACTTGTACAGCACCTTTCAGAGTCAGAGGACTCCAGAGCGCTTTACATTTCAGTGAATCAGTCATCCATTCACACACA